AGCAGGTGAACTGGCAGATGCACATAGAGGCGACCAAACGCGGTAGCTTATCTTTTATGGATACAGAAAATAAGTTCTTTCTCGTGAAGGTTATTCGTAGTTTAGTTCTTCCAGTCTATATTAGCTGACTCTTTTCTCTCAACTTGGAATTAGCTTCCTGTATGCACGTTTAACACAAGTGCATACTGTTTGCAAAGTCAAAAACGTCTAATTATCTACGTGGCCAAAAGCCTCACGTACAGATCAGAAATCCAAAATGTTTAGCAACTAAAGCACGACAATGTGAAGTGATTTTCAAGTCTTAAATGACAATGATTCTTTGTTCATTGTGTGTCTTGATAACGTTCAGATCAACATTATTTACCATGTATGTATATGTAACTTGGTGACGAATGTGGATCATAGTGTACACGGAACATTTGTCAACAACTGCCAAATTCTAGACCATTCATGTGATTTCCATAAGTCATTGTGAAACCCTCATCTGTCATCACCACTTTATTGGTCACAATATCTTGATATCGTCAGTATATACTAAGATTAACGACAGAAGAAGACTGGGAATGTCATTCGCGTACAAGAGCAATAATGCTACTACCAATACTGTACTCTGGGACATTCCAATAAGCACAATCGTCCATTTATCTGACTTTGTGTTCACTTGCAAACTTCGCTGGCACCAGACTACAGTCGTTGATCCACATCAGTAAGTTATCTTCAATCTCAATCTCAATTAACATAGATAACAACCTGTTGTGTGTAACTTGGTCAAAGGTCGCATTGGAGTCGATAGAAGCTACATGACTATGAAGCTTTCGGTGTTTAACTGCAAACCAACCGTCCTCAACTACTAGTAAATTTGTGAGACATGAATATCCTGTTATTAATCACGTGCTGCTTTTCAGAGAGATTCAGATTTCATTCAGATATTTATATAACTTCTGGCGAATAATCTTTCCAGAATCTTATCAACCACACTGGTTAAGCTTACCGGACAATAGTTCTCAGGTTTATGTCTCGCACATGTTTTGAACAGAGGATTTACCATGATGTTCTTCCAGATGTTTGATAATCCACCATCAGTTGTAGGTAGATTGAAACAAACGCATTATTTATTCTCAATAAATCTAGTGAATTCACTCAGTAATCTGGGAAATTTTCGTTGAGTTCTCTCTGCATACGAGAAGCACTCTTAACATAATACACACATTATGGTCTTATTCATGTCTTAAAAGATACAAAATTTAGATTATTGCAAACCCTTCTCACTAATCACACTCCATACCCCTGTTCACAGGGTAACGACAGTCCGTGAGTTGACAATTTATTTTTCTACACTATCCAGTCATCACTCAGAAATTTTCAAATAAATGAAAGCGAAAGCGTACAGAGACAAAAAGTAACACTGATAAATTGTTCGAAAAGCAAAATCACGTCGTGAAACGTCAAGTATTAAGAGTGGAATAATCAACAAATCTATCCTACTGAAGAGTAGCATTTACTGCTATTGCTGACTCAACATGTAAATTTTCCGATTCTACAGGATTATTTAAAGGTTCTTTTTGTAATTTAAGTGTTACTTGGCACTAGTCGAGATGTCAGGGTATGACTCTCCAATGTAGAACGCATCATAGTCGATATAAAGTGATCTATAGACACAATGTTGTGTAGAGGTGAACGGGGTCTTATCTTTTATTCTGACTACAACGTTTCTTAAAGATTTGGTTGTCTTATAGAAGGCTTTAATTTGTAAGTTTTCAAGATCCGTTGTAATTCTTCTATCGTATCTTGGCGGTAAGGTAAAACCACAGTACCAATCCAAGATCATCCATTAAGATTGTTATTTACAAAACGACAGTTTTGGTTTAATATGTTTTCAACAATATTATTAGGAAAATTATTGAAAAATGGAATGTTTATTACATTCTATTTTTCTTTTAGCTTATTTTCTTTTGAGGTAATGAATTTGGTTGCTTTTCTGAAGAGATTCGCGGCTATAGAAATTATAGTACTGAATAGATGCACGGAGTCAAAATAAATTTGCCTATTTGAATATGTTGGTTTTCGGTTTATGGATAGATTTAGACTACCATTAGAATTCCTTTTAGCTGAACAGTCTAAGAAAGGTAGTTCACTATGTTCGTCTTCCTTTTCTAAAGTGGATTCGAAATGTTCTGGTAACATGTTTATGTTTTTGGACAAATTTCTAAGTGTCTTTTTAGTAATGATAAATGTGCAATCTACATATCCGAGCCAAATGCGTGATCTGATGATACTGGGAAAAATAAGCGACTAAATTTGGGACATAAATTTGTAACCATCGGAAATACTGGAGATCCCATGGCTACTCTGTTCATTTGTTTATACACAGTCCTTTTGAAAGTGAAGAGTTTTGAATTCAAGCATTGTTTGAATGATTTCATGATTGAACTAATGCTTAATGGACATCTGCTAGATAGAATATTATCATTCTCTAGTAAACCATTGACAAACTCTAAACATCTATCAATTGGAATGTTAGTGTATAGAGATACAACATTATAGCTGACTATAATTTCGTTCTATTTTAACTGATGCTAAAACCGTCTGGCTTCAATATGAAAGAAGGCGTAAACCTGGTTTGAAGCGAAAGATTATGTGTTCGAGTCCCAGAGTGAACATCAACTCTGAGATGCAGGTGCATCCAGCTGACGAGTCACAAATAGGACGAAACACGCGTCCTGGATTCCACTGCTAACCACTATCCATCTTTGCTTATAATGCTTGTGAATTAACGCTATATCGATACGCACAGTGTGCACAAATGCCAATTAGAGACTGATCAATTGCAGTCCAAAACATCAATGGGAAGATTCAAACAAACAATACCAAGTGAATATTCCACATTGTTTCCTTTGAACTATTTAAACTTGTGTTAATATAATTCGGTTATTTAGTTACACTGGATAAGTGGCTTACATTAAGTCAAGAAAAGTCAGAAATACAGTATGTACTATTTTGCATTTATAAGTCTTTAATTTTGATTAAAAATGAAAGTCCTTATTCATTCAGAAGAATTTAACATGTTTCTGGTTACTTGTGTGGGTAACTTATTTTTATTATATTTAAATATTGTAGCACATTCTCAGTCCGAAAATAAGTATGTTTATTACTTACGTGAAGGAATCACGAAATTCTGCTAAGCTCTTTTATAAAACGTTACAATTTATTATTGGGAAACAAGCTATACAACTCAACATTAGATACCTCAGTTGCTGATATAGTTTCTACTGAATTTGTACAATGGATAAAGGCGAAACATTTTATTGAACGTATTATAATACAAATGTTCTACAGCACTTTGTCTACTGAAGAAAAATGTTATAGAACATATATAAATAAAAATATTTCATAGTTGAATTCTTAAGTTAATTGAATCTAGATCACTATAGAAAACCTGCAAGCACTGAGTGACGGTTTCGTCCTAGTATGGTACTCCTCAGCAGTGCCCATCCACGATGCCAACTGAGGGATTCGAAACCAGAACCGATTGGTTTCGCACGAACGCTTAACCTCTAGACCACTGAGCCGATATCAAACGGTGTTGATGTCTAGCTTAAACCAATCCACTAAACTGAACCACCGTCCACCATTGTCTTCAGCGAGTTGCTATATTACACAGACCTGGTTGAACTCCAATGTTCATGGCTTCTAGGTTTAAATGTAACTGAAAATTACCTTAATTTTATGAAATCTCTTATTATTTTGAAATTTTACTATTAAAACATATATTGAAGGAGAATCTATTGCATTTTGTATCGTATTTTATGCCAAATATCTCTTACTATCAGTAAACATAAAATAGAATAATGTGATGATTACCACTTAATTTATAAATTTAATCCTGTAGTTGTATGCTAACCAATGCATGTAATTCATAACTTTTACTGTTTATAAACGGAATACACACATTAAGACATTCAGCAAAGAGTTCCACTTTTGGCGAATTCATTTTCAAAGCTGTACAATCGCAAATATACATACTTATTTTTTCAGGATGATAATAATTTCAGTAATAGAGACAATAAAATTCTGTTAAACATGGTAACACTAAAGTAGAATAAACAAAGGTATTAAAAAATTTTTTTAAACAGGGAAACTGATAATCGTTCATGGCTTATATTCAGTAGTGGTTTTGTGGAGATTTAGTATTTTCATAGTTGAAAGCGTGAGTTGGTTGGAGTTAGACATAAACACCATCGGATGCCGGCTCAGTGGTCTATCGGTAAAGTGCTCGCGCGCGAGAGTGGTAGGTCCTGGGTTTAAATCTCGCGAGGCGAGTTCGTGGATGTGCACTGCTGAGGAGTCCCACAATAGGATAAACGGCCGTCTAGTGCTTCCAGGTTCTCCTTGGTGGTCTAACTTCAATTGACTCACGCTTTCAACCATGGCTTATATATTCATCAAAAGATAGATAGGTAAATTATCATTGAAAAAAGATGACTCAATATAATAAAATAAAATGTTGAAATTAAAATTAAATATTACTTACTTACTTACGCCTGTTACTCCCAATGGAGCATAGGCCGACGACCAGCATTCCCCAACTCACTCTGTCCTGAGCCTTCTTTTCTAGTTCTATCCATTTTTTGTTCATTCTTCTCCTCCGGGGGCTACTGCCGGTCTCAAGCCCGGGTAAAGGAGGAGGGTTGGGCATGGGGTTAGCGACCCCATCCCGTAGAAAACCAACTCGCTAAAAAAAACGCTAACCAGAAAAAAATTATTCAAACTATTTAAAATTAGATATGATCAGGAGTATCATAGAAACAGAAATAAACTAGTTGTTAACACATAGAAACAATATTCTCTAATTTTCGGTCATTTGAATTTTTGTAAACATTTAACAACTACTTATTATTATTTCTAATCTCAAAAAGAAAAAAACAACTTTATTTTGATTGGTTAACTACTTTATCCAGTTATATATAATGATTTTCTTAATTATATAAATACATTTGATCCTTGGAAATTGTTATAAGTAGTATATTTAAAGAGACTAATTCATAAATTAAAGTTTTCTTTTTGAATAAATAAACGATTATTATTATTACCATATGATAAATATGATCCGAATTAAATATGCAGATTATAGACTATAGTAATACAGACTTATTAAATTGAACAAATGTAAACTAATTCTCTATAGTTAAATACATTACTTTATTTGGTTATACCACAGAAGAAGATGTACAAGATGATAGTAAATATGTTCTTTATTGTTTTAAATGTAACAATGAGAATTTTCATTCTACATATATGTTATGTAGGTAAGTGATTTTAAACTATTAAAAGTAATGAATTAATAAACATTTCTTATGTATACAATAAACGTGGTTGATCAGAACATGTATTTGTTTATTAACTGTAGTTTAAGCTTGACTAATACTTGGATCTATGTAGATTGTTTGTTATTGAAGTTAATTTGTCAGTGTTATCCTTATTTTAAAACTCTATTTATAACACTAACCACTAGACTTTAAGATAGCTAACTGATTATATTTGTAATTAATATAAGACAATCTATCTAAAAATTCCATATTCATATTATGACAATCTCGAAGTGTTGATTTAATCCCTTTAATAAACGTATGATGTTGTAAAATAAGAGACACCGATAAACAAATACTTGAGGCTATTCTTTCTTACTCGCATAGTAGGTAACAACATTGACTGATATTCGTCCCTTGATAATGAACTATCAATATATCATACAGTTTAATCATCCGAATTTACCATAAACAAAGATGGACAGTGGCTAGCAGTGAAATCAAGGACATGCGTTTCGTCCTATTTGGGACTCATCAACTGGATGTATCTGCATTTTAGAGTTGATGTTCACTCTGGGACTCGAATTTATGTTTTTTTATTTAGCTTAAAACCACTAGGAATTACCCAAAGAATTATATCATAAGGTATATGACCGAAGTTATAAAACTATTTAATTTTCCTAGTTATCATAAATTATTTTTCTACTTTTAAAAATACTGAAAAGGACGTTTGCTAAAATCAAATAACTAATCATTCTAAATAATATTACTTGAAAGTAGTAATAGTTGGATCCAATAAAAACTGATAACAATTTTAATTAAAATAATTATTTGAGTTACAAACTTCTTTTTTATTATTAATTTGCTGGTTCAATAAAAATTTAATAAATTTTAACTGATGTTTTTAAGATTCCCTTTTTGACACCATCGTGAACACACATGAATAGTGCTGTACTAAAGTAACCTTAAGTCCCATTCATAAGTCAGCATGTTTTTTTTAAATTTTATCATAGCGAATTAAATATCTGAAGTGTAGTCAGTGTACCAAGACAGTGAGCAAACGTTTTTCTATAGCTTAAATAAGAATTTAATGTTATTTAGTAAATTTACATAGCTTTTCGTTATAACGTATGAGTTCGTAAGTGCCCTGTTTAATAAATATAACGTGATAAGACCGCCAATTAGAATGCAGTGAATTTATTGATCGCCCAATGATACACAAAACTGTATGAACAGTCTAGAGTACTTGTCAGTCCTGCTTTCTGCCTAGCCCATTCAGTCAAGTCCAGAACACCAATAACAGCCTATGCAATATGGATCATTATTCTCAAACATACTGAGTTTATATACCAAACAAACAGACCATATCGTACCATAAAATACAAAATAATAATTGTACAAGATTTGGTCAAATGTGGCTTAGAATAAGGGGATCAGTAATCAATGGACTGGGAATACCTCAAAAATGATAAATCGTATAATAATAGTTCATAGGTCAAAATAAAACTTATAATAAGAGGGACACGAATATGAATCGTTAAGTTACTTAACAATTATACAATAGGAAATATACATATTACATTGGTCCATAGATAGTTCTCAAACTTATCATTCATAAATCTCCACGGGATATAACACCTCCCCTTTTTGAAAGATCCGGATTTTAAAATTTCTCGAATTCACTTTTCATAATCTGAGTTCCTATACTGATATTAAATGTACATGAAACTCCCTATTCATCATTAGGCTAAAGTATAAAATTACATACCTAAATTAATCATTTAAATGTTTACACTTGAAATGATAATAATTAATAGTCACAACTCTTAATGATCAAAAAATATTGTTGGATGTCATAGCGTAGTGTACAAGAACACGGGTAGGGACAATCGAATGTATTAGACATGAAAATTACAGACTATTTCACTATAATCTCATAAACATACAGTAAACAGTTAATTTGTAAACTATCAATCAATTGTCTCAATCTTGAGCATTCTTTCTAAAAATATCAGTCCATAGTCTCCGATTATTATTGTCCATGTATTTTCATACCAATCGTGTTTTGTTTCCATTCTCTCCTTATCGATCTTCTAGTGAAATAAATTCAATGCCCGACCATCGTCATATACTACTTATGTGGATGTGAGCAACCCACACCACAATAGTAGTCAACGAACAATTAAATATCCACGATCAAGATTAAACTTGATCATTTTTAAGAGTATTTATTTTACAAAGAATGTTATAAACTGTCACTTTTTTAATAAATCAATAATCCAAATTTTATAAGAACATTGTAATATTTTGAAAATACCATGTTAAAAAATGATAAACTGGAAAAGTTAAATTCTACATTATAAGTTGAGCTGAAAATGGTTAGAAATACAAATATGCAACCTCAATTCTCCTTTTTTTAACAAAAGATATATAGGTTATATATGGTAATTACGAGGGTATGCAACATTCAACCTTAAAAAAATATTTCCTTTCATTTAGATAACGTCTGAGCAATAGCTGATCTTAAAAACTTTCCACTGCTCGTTTTATTATTTTCACCATCTCAGAGTAATGAAGGACCTTGATGATACAAAGTTCTCTGCATAAATAATTAATTTGTCGTTCTAAATGATAATGACAAAAAAATAAGAATAAACATCCAGGTGATGATAAATTCTAGTTAATGTTTTATTTCATCTCGTTAACTATCTTAAAATACTTAGACTGCAAGTTTCCAAATTTATTTCGGAACTGATTGTGATCATTCCTTTGATTACGCAATATATGAAATTCCCGTAACTTAGTTGTCGAGCATATTTTCAGTCTTTTATTGAGTTACAGCCAGTTATTAGGAAAAAAGCTCTAAAAAAACATTTTCTAATGATATGCTGAATAAAACCGGCATAAATTTGATAAGCTGCTGTTATTAATTTTTTTTAAAAAGGCCGTTGCAAATTCGTTATGATCTTATGTCCGGATTTTTATCACGTGAGTTATCCACCAATCGAAATACGACTTGTCTAAACTTAACATTGTGCCAAATCAATGACGTTCAACTGGTATGAGCAGTCTAGCGTCCTTATTGGTCCCTTATTCGCCTAGCTCTTCGAATTGAGTCCAAAATACCAATTACAGCTTCTGTCAAGCGAATAATTTATTTCAAGCATACTCGGTTTATATACCAGACAAACAGACCGTAAAATATAAAATAATGTTTGTACAAGATCAAGCCAAATGTGGCTGTGAACGTAGGAGACAATAATCAATAAACTGAACATAATTTGGGAACAGTAAATCGTACAGTAATAATTCATAGATCAAAATGAAGTTAATAATAAGATGAATCTAGATATACACAATCTAGTTACTCAATAGTTAAACAATAAGAATATATATAGAATAATAGTTCATTAATAGGTCTCGGAAATTACCCGTACTTATGTCTTCGCTAGGATATAACAGCTGCACAACCCATCATGCTAACAATATATGACGAATATCTTCAACAGTTTTGTAGATACTCAATCACCACTTGTGAATAAAAACTTACTTTACATATTAAAAATCTGAAACATTTCACTGTTTTTTTTAAAAGTAATAGTAAGCAACTCTACATAGTTTTCATATTTATGCTTTTTTACCGAAAATCAAGTCATTTCTATTTAATTATTGAATTCATGAGTTAATTGAAGCTAGACGACTACAGGAAACCTGTAAGCACTGGATAGCTATTTCGTCCTAGTATGGGACTACTCGGCAGCACACATCCATGATCCCTCTCATTTCTTTTTTTTTTTGATTATGCTGATATATAACTTTTACCATATATATGTATCATTTATGCATATCTACTTTTGGTTTCAAAAATAGGATTTCCAAACAAAATTATATGATCATATATTTCAAATAATTGAATATCTTTGTTTAAATCAGTTAGTTATAATACTCAATAAAATATAAAACGGTTATTTATGTCAATTAGATTGATACAAATGATAGTGATAATTTTTTTTGTTCTCTTGTTTATCAATTCATCATAAATATTTAACTCTAACTATGTTTCTTTAATTTATTTTCGTGATTAGTGTTGTTGTTTATTGAAATTGTTATTCAAGGTTAACTACATTTTGTTTGTTAAATTATACAATTTTTTTTCTGTTCTCAATCTGTAATCTGTTTTTAAAGGAAGACAATTATCGTGTCTTTTTAATGTTACTACCCAGTAATGATGATAGTTGTCGAATGAATATTGTATAGATTTCTAATAATAAGTAAAAAGTTTCAGTGCATTCAGTTATTCCAGTATGGATGCCTATGAATGATGGCAAATCAAGAAAGAATGCTCTAACACATCTTTGAACTCCAGAACATAAATAACATTTAATAATGTCTTACTGTAAATATGATTCTAAGCTAGTTCTGACAAACTCCTATTATTTTGTAATGAAAATAAAAATCACAAGGGGTTTTGTGGAGATTTCAGTATTTTCATCGTTGAAATCATGAGTCGATTGAAGCTAGACCACCTGGTTTTCCATGGTGGTCTAGCTTCAATCGACTCATGATATTATCTATGAAAATAATAATTTCACCCTATATCATGTCACTTCTGTGCTATATAACCACTCAAACAAGCAAATTGATTTGATTTAAAATTTCTTTGCAATACCTGGCATAAATTTGAGTGCTGGATATTTTGTATGTAAAATAAATCGTTTGATAAAATTTGAAAATATCTTTGACTGTGAGTGTTTGATCTTGAGATACGCAATTTTATTTATCAATTACTTAAAGCATTTTGTCAACCAGTAGAGAAGGTTCAGTAAAAGCTTTAACAAACAAGATTTTGATTCATAAAGCTCCTAATTGCTATTTCATATTATGTAAGAATAAGTTTATCATTTGATTAGTTTTGGTAAAAACACCCAGTATTAACTACATATGATGATCAAATGACTCTAAATCAATGACAAATATTCAAAAACAAAATTTACACTACT